GCAGATCCGAAACTCGTAGGTGACTAAAATCTGGTGGAGTTCCATACAGAATCTCATACGGCATTCGTCCATTATGAAGAGAGGATGGTGTGCGATTTATGAGATAAGCAGCAGTAAGAACAGCTTCTCCCCAGAATTTGATCGGCAAACTCGCCTGAAACATAATCACCCTAGATACATTGAGAATGTGTCTGTGTTTCCTTTCAACACGGCCATTTTGCTGAGGTGTGGCAACACATGATGTTTGATGAATAATCCCTTGTGCGCGGAAGAAGGAAGAAAGACACATGAACTCTGTGCCGTTATCAGATCGGACAGTTTTTACGGATTTATTGAACTGTTTTTCCATATAAGCCAAAAAATTGACTAGTACAAACTTCAGATTTTTCTAACAAGAGGTAGTCCATACAGCTCTTGAGAAATCATCTACTATGGTTAAAAAATAAACTGCTCCACTAGAAGATGGAACTCGATACGGTCCCCAAACATCAACATGTATGAGTTCAAAGCATTCAACTGTTTTAGTAAAACTTTCAGGAAACACCAAACGAGTTTGCTTAGCTCTAAAACACACGTCACACGGACTTGAGCTAGCCTAATTCAAACAACCAGAAAACAAAGGTAAAGAGAAAGCACTGAAAACGCCGGATGTCCCAACCGCTGATGCCACAAAGCTTAATCTGAACTTTTGACTGCTCTATGACTCTTTGCTGTAACAACATCCTTAAAATAGTAAACCCATCCCGTTCTTCACCCGCTTCTATCAAAGTCCTCGTAAAGCGGTCCTGCAAGAGATAAACAGTATCAGTGAAGGCTGCAAAATAATTTATTTGCTTGAGTAGTTTAGATACTGAAATCAAAGTGCAGTGAAGATCGGGAACATATAACATATTTCGCAATGTTATTTTATCAGACAGAAAAAATACGCCCTTGCTTAGTGCGAGTGTTTTATTACGGAAGAGGGAGCAATCATCTCAACATTGGTTAAAAGAGAGAGATTCCCGTCATATGATGTGATGCTCCTGTATCAAGTATGACATTACCTAAACCTTGGTTACCAAACAACTTATCAGAGGAACCTGCTTTTTCTTGAATCAGATGTTGCAGGGCCTTCTATTGATCGGGTGTGAGATCAGAGAACGTGGAGGAGTTGGATGTTGTGGCATGTGCTGCTGAAGGTTTACCACGACCACTAGTAGAGCCACGACCTCCTCTGCCACAACCCTGTTGACCACCACCTCTGCCATGTTCAGCTCGCTCGTTATACCAGTCTGGGAAACCCACGATTTGCCAGCAACTCTAATTCTCATGTCCGCTTTGTCCACAGTGAGAACAGAGCATGTTATGCGGCTTTTGAATGGAATTGTCTTAGGTGCTGGAGCGTGTGAATCCTTGTTGTCGGGAACAGAGACTTGTCGAGCTACAAACCCAACTGCTTCATGTTGTTGTTCTTTGATTCGAGCTGAATTCAGCCTCTGTTCCTCGCGAACAATCTTTGCATAGATTTTGCCGAGATCTGGAGTGGGATCAGCACTGATAATCTGAGTACAAATATCACAAAATCTTGCATCATCGAGCCCCATCACGAACTGATGAATTTTCTCTGCTTCTTGCTCTTTCGCCATCTCCGCAGCAGCTCCACATGAACAGATATAAACAGTTTTGTAAATCTGCAATTCTTCCCACAAGGTTGAAAGTTTGCCGAAGTACTCGAGCACACTTTGTCCATCTTGACGACAGGATGCAAGCTGCGCTTTAATCTGGTGGATGCGAACTTTGTTGCTAACTGAGAACCTCTGCGTCAGATCCGTCCATAACTGATGTGCATCAGCGATGTAAGTCACCGTTGATCGGACCTTTGGCGCAATTGAAGAACGAATCCACCCCACAATCATGGAGTTGACAGTTAACCAGTCTTCCAGATCAGGGCTGTCACTGGTCGGTTTCTTCATCCTCTCATTAATGAACCCCATCTTCCGTTTTGCTTGGAGAGCGTTTAGCATCTCCGAAGCCCACTCATTGTAATTTTTGCCATTCAACTGAACGGACGTGATTATGACACCAGGATTGTCTGACGCGTACAGAGATCAAGGAGAGATCGTCGAGACATCGAGATCTTTCCCACCAACAGGTTTTGTCACAGACGAAGCAGGAGTGATATCCTCACCACCGGACATTGCTTACAGCACACGAAAGGGGGGAACAAAGCACTATCGAATAACTCACGATAATTAGAAAAGAAAACTTTAAAGAGATTTGTATGATCTTAGCTTTGATATCATGTAGAATTAGGTATTGAACTGACTTGCTTTATTGATAACGATATACACACGTATTTATACAAGAATAGGTCGGTTTATGTTGACCATGAATATAGGAAACTGTTCTAATCTCTAATGGAAACAATACATTCTCGTATATTCGGGAATATCCGCAATATTAATTGTAAAGCTTTTTTAACGCAGAAGTTAATTACACACTGAACCTTCCATTTAATCTATTTTTCATTCATATGTTAAAAATAAGAGTTAATTACATTGAAAGGCACTTTATCAATCTTCTATTACATTTAAAGGCACTTACAAAGATTGGTGCACTTTCAATAAATAAAATGACCAAACAATCCTTGCTAACTACTGAACTTCTTCTTCTCACTTTGATACATTTTACATTCTTTTTACAACCCAGAAAAAATTAATCGGCAAACCCCATTGATACAATCTCTCTCTCTCTCTTCTATCCTTCCTTCTCTTTCTCTCTCTCCCTCCCTCCCTCCCTCCCTCTCTCTCTCTCTCTCTCTCTCTCTCTCTCTCTCTCTCTCTCTCTCTCTCTCTCTCTCTCTCTCTCTCTCTCTCTCTCTCTCTCTTTCTCTTTCTCTTAATCTTCCTCACTAATTTTCTGGTCTTAAACTGATTCAGCCATGTGAATATCAATTTTAACGATGATGAAATCAACCCACAAATTGCAAGCGATCACCACTTGGTTCTGCAACAAAACCTTCCAGAAATGAACAAAGCAACATTGAACAAGATTCTACGAAAACAAGAAGACTTGTCGGATTTGATAGACAGAGAGAGAAAGAGATAAAAAGAGAGAGAGAAAGAAAAGTTGAATTTTGTTGGGACTTCGAACTTCATTTTACCATGGATAACATCTGGTGGACAAAACAGTGCGGATGGACAATAGATGATGGAGAAGATATGGTGGACTAAATAATCCAGATGGACAATAGATAATGGCCATGTGAATATCAATTTTGACGATGATGAAATCAACCCACAAATTGCAAGCGACCACCACTTGGTTCTGCAACAAAACCTTCCAGAAATGAACAAAGCAACATTGAACAAGATTCTACGAAAACAAGAAGACTTGTCGGATTTGATAGATAGAGAGAGAGATAAAAAGAGAGAGAGAGAAAGAAAAGTTGAATTTTGTTGGGACTTCGAACTTGATTTTACCATGGATAAGATCTGGTGGACAAAACAGTGCGGATGGACAATAGATGATGGAGAAGATATGGTGGACTAAATAATCCAGATGGACAATGGATGATGGATAAGATATGGTGGACAAAATAATGTTTTGTTCATCAATTTGGTTACTCCAAACTCTTGCGGCTTTTGTCCAAGTCTTTGTAAGTAGATGAATTAGCATAGACAAGTTATCTAATTTTTATCGACAATATGGCATGGACAATGCTATGTGGATACAAAATTTGTTTCTCACACATTTTGTATTTAAACGCATTAATTTTATATTGTAAGAGACACACTTGTATCCATCAAACCCCATCCACCGATATCAGTTAGCTCTAATATATAATGGATATGCGTTTTCATGTTTATCCACAAGATTATGTCCACACGATTTCGTCCACAAAAATTAGGATTGAAATTAACTTTACGAATTCTCTTGATTGGATAATGATCTAGTCAACTGTAAAACTAAAGATATCAAATCCACTGCAGATAATTGTATAAGAGTAATCAGAGTATGTGCATAGATAATATAACGACAATATAGATTAGATGGTTCATGTTTTATATAGTTTAGGTCAAAAATAGATTGAAATGAGAATTTTGAATTGTAATGAAATAAATGTGGATGTGAAGGTGGAGATGCCCAGGAAGAGAGGAAAAAAAAGAAGAGGATGAGAGGTAGAGATGCGCAGGAGAAAAGGAAGAAGAAGAAATGGGTGAACAATATAAAAAAATTATTTTAAAGATAAACTAGAGTTTTTTTTTTTGTCATCAGCCTCATTTTTATTCCATCTCAGTGAGCCAAGCCGGTGGAAGCGAATTAACATAGTCTAGATGATGAAGGCATATGCGGGCACTTCTTGCCAACTTATCCGCCTTCTTGTTCTTAGGTATAAAGAGAAAGAAATAGAGAAGAAAATAAAATGAAGAGAAAGAAAAAGAAAAGAAGATAAGAGGGAGAGAAGGAGAGAGAGAGAATGAAAAAGGAAAAAACAGAAAGTGCAGCTAACAAATAAAATTTGGTTCAGTTTCAGTAAGGTTAATTAAAAGATTTCAGCTTCTAAAAGTAAAGCTAAAGTCCACCACCTATAGCTAAAAATATCTTTGATTGTAAATTGAAATTCCAAAGTAACTTCCGATGTAAATCTCTCTAAAAATAGCAGTGCTCGAGACTTGCTGATACTCTCCAACGATACTAAATGGTTAAGAAGTAGCTATGCAAAACTTTATTTTTAAAGAAAAAGTTTAATCCATAATGTTATGATCTAATAGTATAATAATGTTGCATTTCTTAGATTTCAGTCAATTAGAAACTCTTCAAGGGTTTTATCTAATCCGTAATAATGTCCAGTGTTGGAGTTTAAGAATCAGAGAAGTAGAGTGGCTCCCTTTAATTGAAGAATGGATCTTAAAGACATGTCGCAACATTTTACTGATGAATAAAAGATCTCTTGTCCTTCTTTATGTCTTAAAAATCATATTACATAATTTAATTGTAGTGTTCTTAAAGGGTTTGTCTTTGATCTTTATATAAGATGTTAGATCTCGATATACTTCTGATGCTAAAATGCTTTACAAGATGATGATGGATACATAAGCTTCTATATATATAACTTGACATGAATACCAAACCATACACAATTAAGAATCCATCATGAACATTATACATAATCAAACAAAAATGTTACAAAATAATGAAATATCGTTATCCCGACAAAATAACAAAACAAAAAAGAAAAGAAACCAAGATTGTCATGCCCAAACTCTTTTCCTAGGGGAAAGATCAGAAGTCTTGATGTCATCTATTTTTGCCGCCATTATAAAATCGTTCATGCTTAACCCTCCTACATTGCTCATCCAATATCCAACAACAAAACGTTTTAAGAAACTCATATACTAAAAACGCAAAAAAAAGTATGAGAATGTTTATTGTTGACATACCAATGGAAGAAGTAGATAGTTCAGCTCTAACTTGTGTAGGATTTTCCAAATGGAGAGAAGGGTAATGACCAGAAGCTTCAGCAACCTTATGGATCCGATTTATAAGTTCAACACCACACCCATAATCCCTCACTTTCCACATGCATCTAATTTTCAGACCACCTGCTTCATCCTCCACTATACTCCATCCCAAAACCTGAAACGTTTACATAACAATCATATAGATATTTAAGATGGCACATCTTTAGAGTGAGCACAAATCAAGTAGAGTGATATATGAACACAATGCAACAAAAACAAGTTCACTTGATTGTAAAATTCAGATTGATATATGATACGGTTTTTAACAATATGACCACTAACTAGTTCATAAACTATGGTTGCAACTTCATGGGTTACATTTTTAAAATCAATTGGGCAAAATGAGAAGAGTAACACATGACCCTTTGAGATTCTAGCTTTCACCGAGAGAAGAAAGGTTCAATATATTTAGCCCTTACCCATTAAACCCTACACCAATCAAAATCTTCACAACATTTTGAGAACTTTCAAATCAACGAACATCATCACATAGAATTAGTAACAAAAAAGATTATAATTATGAGAAAATTAACCTTATGGAGAAGCGTTTTGGCATCATCGGCGGATAAAGGAGCCTGAGAAGGCGAAACAGGGGAGCACTGAAGCTGCGAGAGGGAGAGAACAGAGGCGTTAGGAATCAGAATCTTATGCTCAGTGCTTTGGTTCCCCAACACTTTATCTCCGAACTGACTCGCTATCTCCTCCGGGTAAGGGTCACGAGCTCCAAAATCTCCTAGAAAATCCTGCGCTAGATTATTCCGGGTAACCGTTAACCGGCCCCGGTTATGTTGGGTACCAACCGTCGGTAAGAAACCGAAGAATTGAACGGTGGTACAAGGAGGAAGATGACGGAGTAAGGAGACTGAGATATGACACGGCGGAGATGACGTGGCAGCCATCGGAATCGCTTGCTCTGTTTACAGAAGAAAGATAAGAGTTTTTCGAATGTGGGGAGAGCGAAACGAGTTTTAGACCACACTTGGAGAGAGGAGTTAAAAAGGGTGAGGTGCCACGTTATCATTAATGGGACCCTGGTGGGACCCATTTGACACGTCACGTTTTCCTCTTATTATCTGAATACGCCCATTGTAAGGTCCAGCCGACGTTGTAATTTTGGGATTGTTCACTTTGGGAAATCTCCTTTTTTTTTCTTAAAGATATTGTTAATTCCAAAATTACCCTTTTGGATATCTGTTATTACGAAGAACCCTTTTTCCCTTTCCTTCCCGATTTCAAGCCCTAAAATTCCGAAACTTTGTGTTTTCTTGTTTTACGACAGTCGCCGAGTGAGAGAGAGAGAGATTTAGAGAGAGAGAAGGATGCCGCTGCACGACGAGCAAGAGCATGAGGTGTACGGTGGAGAGATCCCAGAGGAGGAAGAAGGAGAGATGGATACGGAGGAGTATGAAGAACACGTCGGAGAAGATGGCGCCGCCGCCGGAGATGAAGAGATTGAACCAGGCTCTGGCTCTAGGGTATTGGGTTTTCTTCGATCCAGTTTTGATTTTATCTAATTGACACTTCCTTGTTTCCTACTGTGTTTAATTTAACTTCTGCTGTTTATTGCTCGTATGGTTCGATAGGATTTAGAGGATATGAAGAAGCGAATCAAGGAGATCGAGGAAGAAGCTGGAGCTTTGCGTGAGATGCAAGCCAAAGCTGAGAAAGATATGGGCGCTGGTCAAGGTTTGTTCTTAATCTTTAGTTGTGCTGATTCATACAATCTTTCTTCATTATGCCTTTTGCGCGTAGTTTACATGGACCTTAAATCTTGAGAGATTAGGTTTAGAGCTTTTCATGTTGATTTCGATACTACTTTTGTTATCGTATTGGGAATCTTGTAGTAAATCAACTAGTTTGCGTATAGGAATTTTGTGTGTTTGGTGCTGAAATTCATCAAAACTATTCAATAAGGAAGATCAATGAACACAGTTGAGCTAATTTCGTGAATGTCCTTTTTTTTGTTGCATATCAATGAAGATCCTTCAGGGGGTATTAGTTCAGCTGAGAAAGAGGAAGTGGATTCGCGTTCAATATATGTTGGCAATGTAAGGCTTCCACCATTAATTTTTCACATGTTTCTCTGTTTAAATTGTTTCGGCATCAATGAAATTGTTGCTCATTAATGTTTGTGAAGCTATTAGTCACTGAAGATTCTCAACCTTTTCGTTTTGTCTTTGGCTTTGGTGTATACATTAGGTGGACTATGCATGTACACCAGAGGAAGTCCAGCAGCATTTTCAATCCTGTGGAACAGTCAATAGGGTTACGATTCTGACAGATAAGTTTGGTCAGCCTAAAGGTTTTGCCTACGTCGAGTTCGTGGAAGTAGAAGCCGTTCAGAATTCTCTTATCTTGAACGAGTCAGAACTACATGGTCGTCAGATAAAGGTGCAAACTCGTTCAGATTTACAATGTAGTTACTCGTATGTCGTATAGCTAAAAGATAATGTCATCACTAAACTTTGCTTAATCCATTTTTTTTCAGGTATCTGCAAAGAGAACTAACGTCCCTGGTTTGAAGCAATTCCGAGGAAGACGTGCCTTTAGACCCATGAGAGGATTCATGCCCGGACCTCCATTTTATCCTCCATATGCTTATGGGTACGTTCTATAAACTTCTCTGCCTCCTTTCTTTTAAACAAAGCTAAGCAACTTTTGGGTCTTGTTGGGTTTATATAAAACTAAAGATTCTGATTGAATAGTCTACTTGATTTAGTCTATGTACTGAGAGTGATCATCATGGTTCGTGCAGGAGAGTTCCGAGGTTCAGACGGCCCATGCGCTACAGACCATACTGATTAAGGAAACTTGGTCTAAAAGTAGCAGCTGCATCTTGCTTCAGGAAGGCTTTTATCGTCAGTCTTGTTTATCGGCGCAAAAGTTGCTTCGATTAGTTGAGATATGTTGAAGAAATCTATGGCAGAAGAGTGAAGCAAAGAAGGAGATGATTGTGTTTAGATTTTATGTACAATATTGATGAGAGAAGAGCAACATTTTGAGTTACTTTTCTTTTTTTATCTTTGAACAATTTCATAAACTCATAAAAAGCTTTGTTATTCAGAACGACCACCGCATTTATTGAAATTTTTAACTTTTTATAAGTTTTGTGTTTTTTGGTAAGATTTGAATTTATGGTTCTGTCATTGCAAACATTATTTGAAAAAACTGAAAATAGAATAGCAGTATTTTCCATAACAGAAAAAGTGTCACTTTTTTTTTTATTATTTTTAACATAACATAAATGTCACTTTTTTTTTATAACATAACAAAAATGTCACTTCTCGCCTAATTTCGTTACAGCTCAATGAAACTTTCTATATTTACAAAAGTCGGTTTATGAAAATATTTATTTCAAATTGGAGACAATGACTTAGTTAAGAGACTTATTTAAACCCTTTTCAACGTGATGAAAAACCTTTAAGGCTTCAACGACGTTTCTTCTTCTTCGCTCTCTTAGCGCCGCTTACTCGACCTCTCTCGGTGAAAAAACCTCCTTAGCAAGCTCCTTCGAGCCTCCTCTTAGACGATTTCCCGATTTCTAAACATCGGATTTTGATCGCGGTAACATAAAAACCCTAGCTTCGCGGAATTTGCTCAGTCGCTCGTTAACAGGCGGCGTGTGAGAGAATGGGTCGGGACAAGGATCAGAAGAAGCAGAAGAGAAAAAGAAGCAATGAGAATAGTGTTGAGAAAGTAGTAACTAACGAAGAGAAGCAGAATCCGAAGCAGCAAAAACAACAACAACAAGGGCAACAAGGGAATGTTAATCAAAGCAAGAAGAAGAAGAAAGAGGTTTCTCCATTCGGAAATTATAGAAACTACTATGGCTATCGAGTGAGTTCTTCTCATCTTTTTGATGTTAAAGGAGTGTTTTTTTTTATCCATACATATTGATTTCAGTATATCTGATTTTGGGCTTTTCTTTTGACAAAAATCATAATGTGTTTAGATTAGCCATGATATGGATGAAGATCCTCGGCTTAAAGTGTTGAAGAAAGAATGGTTTGAGGGCAAAGACTGTCTTGATATTGGCTGCAACAGCGGGATTATGACTATCCATATTGGTATGTTCTGTATAGATTTGATTTGTGGTAGTAGATTGTGTTTGAAATCTCTCTTTAGCTATATGGTTTATCTGATATTTGTTTTTCTTTTTGCCTCAGCTAAAAAGTTTGGTTGCCGGAGCATTCTTGGAGTTGATATTGATTCAAGTAGGAACTCTTTAGTTTGACATAATAATATCTCTTCCAAGGTTTTGTTTATGTAGGAGATGAATTGGAACTTTTGGCTGACACGTGTTTATGAAACCTCCATAGTTATTTTCTTTTTTATGCTTAAGTAATCATGTACTGTGGATTGAACTTGATTTTTTTCTTTGAAGGATGCGTTGAGGATGCTCACTGGCACCTTAGGAAGTTTGCCAGAACGGAGAATTCTGCTAAGCCAAATGAAAAGAAATCTAATTCAGAGGGTTCGAAGGAGCAATCTGTTTCTCAATCCAATGGCGAGACAAAGACAGACGGCGCAGAAACCAAAGACCTGTCTCAGGTTGTCTCGTTTCAGAAAGAGAATTTTGTTCAGACTCGAAATCTTGACAACAATCGTTATGACACAATTCTATGGTAAAACTCCTTTTCTTTCTACTTGTTCTTTCACTCCTCGTATATCTAGCTACTGCTTCTTGGAGAGATTTAGCAACAGAAAAAACTTAGGCTCATACCACAAAATACGTATGAGATTGCAACTGTAGTTGAGAAAAGATGTCCCTGAGCCTTTTGACTTCACTTTTTTCTGAAAGAAAGTCTCATTTTTTTAGTTATAACGAGAACGTCTTCTGTGTTGGTTGTCTTATGCTGGAATTGAAAAAAACACATGTTTCTCTTTGGTGCAGCTTGAGTGTGACAAAATGGGTTCATTTGAATTGGGGTGACGATGGTTTGATCACCTTATTTTCAAAAATCTGGCGACTTCTTAACCCGGTAAGCTCCATTGTTCTTAAGATGTGCCAATTTTTTGTTCTCATATGCTCAGCGATTAACACAGTTGGCTTTTGGTTTTTGTTCAGGGTGGTATTTTTGTAATGGAACCTCAGCCTTGGAAATCTTATGAAAGCAATCGTCGTGTCTCAGAGGTATGTAGAATTGTAGATGCATATATACAAAACTTATTTATAGTGTTTTTAGAGTGCACAAGCTAGCGAAATATATAGTTTTAATATGTGTGTCTTCTGAAATTGCAGACAGCTTCAATGAATTACCGAAATATTGTTCTACGTCCTGACCGTTTCCAAGAGATTCTTCTTGATAAGGTACTATGTTTGCTTCCTTAGTTTGCATATACCCTTACCTGATCTTAGACTCTTAGTGTTGTCTGAAATTAGATTTAAGACTATGTGCAACACGACCAATGTGTGTAGTGAAGTAGTCTTGGCTTTTTTAGGGGTCATTTGATCTCGTTGGCTAGTTTTGGAGTCGGATCCTCATGCTGCATTACTTGTGTTTTGGGTTTTTGGAACAGATTGGGTTTAGAACAGTGGAAGATCTCACATCAAGCTTGTCCGGCGCAAGCAAAGGGTTTGATAGACAGATCCTTGCGTTCCAGAAATGAACATAACAAACCAGAGGCTTCACTTAAGAAGAAGATGACTTTTTGATAAAAGTCTTGTCAAAATCAAACTAATTTGCGTTTACATGGTCGCTTCATATTTTTTTTTTTTGCTACTGCTTAGGCTCTCTAATCCAAATTCCAAAGTCGTCCTCTTTTTTTTTGTAAACGGTTTCAACTGATAATGACACAGAATTTAAAAGCCACCAGCGTCCATGGCTAAAAATAGGACTTTTAGGATCTTCATAGGTTTACTTAAAGTCCAAAACATTTGTCTGCAAAATCAAAAATATCACAAAGACATGACCTTCTCTGGCATGAGGCGTGCAAACGACTGTTCACCAGAATCACTGTCAACTGTGGACCGAACAGAAACAGCTTGAAAAGAGAAACCGCCTCTCTCGCTCACAACGCTGCCGCTTCTGTAGCCCTCTCTCGAACTCCTGGCTTGAGGTAAGGCCATGTGGCTTCTCCTTGTCAGATTCAAGCTAACATCCTCCGGAAACTGCAGTGTGAACCGGTCTAGATTCTCACCAAACCGAACCAATGAATGTCCGGTCGAACGAGATCTAGGGACGAATATACGCCAGCTCGACAATAACCCTGTAGATCTTGATCTAGGCGTTATATAGTTTGCATTGTTGTTGTTCCATGTCACACGATTACTCATCAAGCTTATGTCGTCTTCTTGAGACTCTGAAACACATGTTTGTGCATTTCCCGTTTCGATATCCGTTCTCGGATCTTGAAAGCTATCGCCCGGTTTAAGAGACAGGTCTGCACGGCAGACCGGACACGTGGACCGAGAAGAGAGCCACACGTCGATGCAACTAGCATGGAAAGTGTGGCGACAAGGAGGCATCCAACGCAGAGGTTCTTCATCCTCAAACTCGTTTAGACAAACCGCACATTCGATTCCGCCTTTACCGATCTTTTGCCCTTTAACCTCAGTAAAGGAAAAACGGAAAGGACTCGATGACATCCTTCTCGAGCCCACCACGCCTTGCTCTATCGTGCAACAGTACTTGGCGGCCTCCCGTCGTCTCGGTCTCGGTCTCTGCGCCGTGGAATGCACGGAACAAGCAGCCACCGATTATACATAATAAGAACACGGAAAGCAACATGATTCCAACTACCGATTCCGCCATGAACTTGTTTTTATTATTACTGTTCGCAGATACGGATTCTTGCTGGCTGGTTACGTAAGGCAAGAATTGGAAAAAGAAGAGCGGCAATACAACACATATTACGATCCTAATTTGGCTGATGGTCATAATGTGAACGGCTCTTTTGTGGATCTCTTGAGCTGATCTCTGTCTCCGTTTAGAGCGAGAGAAAGACAAAAGGAGAAGAAGAAGTCGATGAACTATACAAATTGTGACTCGTAGATCAATAGGATTGCACGTCACGACAACAAGTTATTGTATTACTACTATACTATATGTTACATTTGTTTTGGTCCAACGTTTTGACTTTGAAGAAGTCTTTTAGGTTCACCGTAGACGTAGAAAAAGTACAACTTCACTCATGCCCCTCTATAATAACTTGTTGACAACACAACAAGACCTTTTCTGACAATTTCGAAGAGCAAGAGGATGTGATGGACCCATAAGAGTTTATAGACTCTAACTAATTAACCAATACGATATGCTTAGAAGCTATCGATGTTTGGACTGGTTAAATTAGCGAAGCCTAGTAGACGTTGAACACAAGAAGTGAAGAACAAAACTACAAGTCGCTTCATATCCTACTATAGTTGCAAAAGAGAAGTATTCGAGAATACACGAAAATACATTCCGGTACTAGATGTGATGATGACTTGTTATTTGCTAGTAAATATTGCAAATCGAGTTTCTTGAGCATAAAACTTAATCTACAACAAACATGCTTGTTTTTTTTTGCAATTAATCATTCATCTTAAGTATATGAATCGATTAAATAAAGTTTTAAAATACATATGTATGAAACGAAAAAGAGATAACATAGGGATTTGTGTCTAAAAAGAATCAAAGTCATGAGTTTCGTGTCTAAGACAAACGAGGGAATTGTGTAGTCTTTTGGCATATGATCCGTCTCAACAGGATTTATTAAAACATACTCCCTCTGTTCCATATTGTATGATGTTTTGGGTTTTTTATTTTGTTCCAGATTTTCTACATTATATTTAATATATTTCTGTTTCCAAGACAATTTTTTGGGTAAAAAAATATAAAAAATTAGTATTAAATTAATAAACACACAAAAAGTACTTTAAAAAAAGTAAATAATCATTGTTTTCTTAATATCTATGAAACATCTAAAACATCATACATTCTGGAACGGAGGGAGTACTGATTATATAAATTTAAAGTTCATAATTAACAAAAGTTCCGCTGTAGCACAAAGGCTAATGCTCTATCACTTCATTTTTTTTACTTTATTTTTTTTCATTTTTTTTCAGTGCGGATCAGTGAAGCCTTTGCTGAATAACTGATACCTTCTTTTCGTTTTTAGGGTTCTTAGTGCATCAGTTTTAATCTTACTTCAATAGTCAAATTGTACTGAATCGGTTTGATATGTCATATTCTTGATATGAGTTAAGATGATTAATCTTTGTAATTTGAGGAATATCTATGCAATGCATGTGATGACAATCACTGGTATTCATTCCAATTACAAAATGCTTTGATTTTGTGGTTGGAAACATCGGAAGAAAGTCCTTTTAATTTAATGTCTTCGAGTGGCCAAGAAGAGGAGTGTAAGAATCTTGAAATTTGCAACTTCTTCACATTCATCCCTTGAAGCAAAGTATAATGGCATCTACAATATTTACTTCTTTCTATTGTCAGAGTTCATAAAGTCCTGAGCATTGCATATGAGCTAATCTATTAGCTAGTTTGAGTCAACAATATGCTATTATATAGTATCTGTCTTCCCAAATGCTTCTTAACAAGATCATATTTAATGAGCTTAAAGTGGAAGCACCAATGTTTCACCAGATCCTCCGCAGTTAAAATATGACGATGAAGAATACAAAAATGTGTTCTTCTCTGGTCTCTTCTCTTGTTTATTTACAAGTAAAATAGTTTAATGTGATACTCAGAAACGTAACATGAGACTTCTTCTTTAAGATTCCCTAACTTGTTACGACACAATAACAGAAGATACAAGAAGAAATTGTGCAGGAAAGTTGAATTGGAGATAACAATAGATGCCATAAAAGACAAACTGAGAAATTTGGAAATTCAGAATGAGAGATGAACAACGAGGCTTAGATGGAGATTCATCTTGGAACACGAATAGGAAAAAAGTTTAGCTTTTTCAGGCGATTTACAAGATCAGATTGGTACAAGAACGAATTCAATTAATATGTTATATAAATTCAAACTTCTAATTCACTAAAAGTTCCAATGAGAGGTAGGCATTCGAATTACCGGATCAGATCGGGTAGGGTATTTCGAATTTCGAATTTTGAATATTTTAGAAAATCTTTTGATACCAATAGGATATTATTAAATTTTGGATCGGATTTGATTCGGATATTTCTGGGTTCGAATCGGTTCAGATATTATATTTTGGATCCAGTTTTTTCGGAATATGTTCGAGTTCAACTACTTGTATCTAAAAAGTAACCAAATATAATAAAAAATACTCAAAAATAACCATAAATATAAATATGAAATTTAAAAATAACCAAAGTAATATCGAATCTAAAGCAAATTAATTATTCAAAGTTCAAAATCAAAATAAACATTAAAATCTTCAAATTGTCAAACAAAAAACAGAAATACAAAGAATGGTTTAGAAGAATTTACTAAATCGAATTTTTCGGATATTTTTCGGATACCGGATCAATCTAGGTATTATCCGGTACCCAAAAACCAAAAACAGTTGTATTCAATCGGGTATTATAAAGGATCCGAATCGGATCCGGATAAAATGTCCACCCTTAATTCTGATGGTTCATGTTGACCCATGTTCTTTTGTTCATTTTTTTGTTGTCAAAAAAATATTTAAAGAATCTTGAATTTTGCAACTTCTTCACATTCATCGCGACTTCCACGTTTTTTTACATGATCATCTCACTGATACTTGCAGCTAAAATCAGCGTTAAATATATTTGTTCAAAGTAAATACATAATGTAGTTTTGATTTACTTAGATTAAAAAACTATTATCAAGAGGGAAAAAGTGATATATATATATATAATTATAGTTAAATATTAACATAAGTTCCGTTGTAGTACATAGGTTAAACCATTTCTCATGTTAGAATAGTTTCGGGTTCGAACCCAGGGAAAAATACAAAAAGAAATATTTATGTTATTAAAAGTATGATAATACGTTATATATAAAATTATAGCTTTGTGACAGTAGTTTTGCTGTAGCTCATCGGTTAAACCATCTCCTGTCCTTACGAAATAGTAAAATAGTTTAGGGTTCAAATCTTGACAGCGAAATTTTTTTTTGAAATAATTGTACTGAATCTATTTTAACGAGTAAATGAAAGGAGCATTGAGAGTTAGAATCATTAATCTTTGTAAATTTAAATATGCATGTGATGATATATCACTGCTTTTCTCCCAATTACATCTGCTTCATAGATTGCAAAATATGCTTTGATTATGTGGTTGGAAACATCGGAAGAAAGCCCTTTTCAAGGTTTTGGTTCAAAGAGTGTAAAGAATCTTCAAATCTGCAACTTCTTCACATTCATCGCGACTTCCATGTATCATCTCACAGGCATTTTTTTTGCTACTGCTTAGGCTCTCTAATCCAAATTCCAAAGTCGTCCTCTTTTTTGTAAACGTTGTCAACTGATAATGACACAAAATTTAATTCATTTAAGTAGTGAAATGAGAGAATCTCTGATGCCAATGAATCAACTTGATACTCGTACAACTAGAACCCACTAATGTTAGTAATAAGAATTACAGTTTCATGAGAGTGAAAGGAGAGAATCTCTGAATCCAATGAATCAACTTGATACTAGTAAAAACCTGTATACAATACAGTAGCCACTAAGGTTGGTCATAAGAATTACAGTTTCTTGTCTAAGAAATGGCAATTAAAGGGATGCCCAAGAAGGATAAGGACATTCGTATTCCCATCCTGTTCCAGAGTATCGAACGCAATGCAACCAAAGAGCCTCGTCATGCTCCTCGTACCTGCATAATTAGAAGAAGCATGAGACAATACAACAAGAACACACGATGGTGGTGTTATTTATCGTCGTGTTATTTATCGTCTATCTTTTTACCCTTGTGGGATCAACTTTGGGCAGTTTGTGCACAAAGGATCGATGCTGAAATCTTCACTGGAATACACGTAATCTTCTGGGGAGACCATCTTTCTCTCGCCCGCATCAATTCTTTTGGCAATCTTGGTCTTAAGATCATCCACGTTTTGGTTGAGATAAAGCGGGTCATTCGCTATGGGATGTCCTGTATATTGTAGATGCACTCGTATCTACAATCGTCAAAAAAAACGAAATGAGAAACCCCAAAAGGCTAAAACTCTCTCTATCTACACTTCTCATGGCTTAATAAGATCTAAAGATTGAAGCTTTGTGAGCTTTTACCACTATGTATGTTTATGTGTTATGTATAAACACTTGCTTACTTGATGAGTTCTCCCTGTCACAGGTTCACACAAGACGAGGCTGTGAGTTCCATTTGTATCGATTCTAGTGAACTTGGTACATGCAGGCTTCCCCTTCATCTTCTTATCATCACCACTCGAATTAGCATCCTGAGTAAATCATACACATTCATATATTTATTAAGTGCCAAAAGGAAGACTTTATGATTTGTATTCTTGAGGCATAATGTGGCTTTACCTCTGCTGTGCTTCTTCCTTCGCTGCCATTGTAATTTATGTTGGCGTCGACTACTTTCTGACACATCAAAATCATGCAGCTACTTCAAATAAACTTTCCTACCAAACGTGCTAAGTGCACACGAGGAGTCCAAAAAAAACTTCAAACCTCATCTTCTGGGAACACGCCAATAACTTTTGCAATATAACGTTTCTTCACCATTCCCCCCTCAATCTGAAACAACCAAGATAATTACCAACTATGACTCTTGATTAACCAGAGCCAATAAGCATCTTATGAATTTTATGGTATAGCCAAGCAAATTGAAACCAGCTTTCACGTGTACCTGTTTCCTGAAAAAATCAGCCTTTGCAGCAGTTCTTGCTATGATGAGCAATCCAGAAACCAAACGATCTAATCTGTGAATAGCTGTGATATGATGTAAGGATAACTCGTATTTTTACCATTTTTCAAACAAAATGGTAAACTAAGACTAAGTATCATCGTATAATAGTGTTGTCTGGATACGAAATAGAGGGCCTAAGTCATGCTCAGCATCAAGGATTCCAACGACCGTGTTCTTACGGTATTGACCACATGGATGAACCTACAACAAGAATAAAATGATCGGTTCCGTCACCAAAATATCAAATCTTACACCACAAACGCATAAAAAAATGTATACAACAAGGTGAGTTTCCACAACATTTGATAGATGCTAACGCTTCAAACATTACTAACAAGAAGAGAAAAAGATCATTTTAGTCTAGAGTCTAATTCAATCATTTCTGAACACCCATTCTCAAGCAAACATGTTTCCTCTCCAGAGACCACACAATATATTAAACGGAACACTCACAGGAATAGAAGCTGGTTTGCAGACAGTAACTACGTCAGGTTCTTTCACAAGAATCACTACATCATCAGTCATCACCGGTGGTTCATGCCTGAAACCTTTCACACATTTAACATTTAGATACATGACATTCAAGTCCAATGCAATTACAAAAGCTGAGCTACTTGTAAAATTTGGATTTGAATAAGTGACAACCTGTGGAGGAAATGAGTAATCTTTTGGGATGATCTCACAATGTATGAAACTGGTACAATCTCACCATCAACTTTGATTCTTCCACATTGAACAGCACCAACCTGCGAATTTCTTTAGCAGAATTAAAAAATCCCAAAATCACCGATGATAATCGCATTTACAAATTCCATCAGATTGAAAACAGACATAGTATTCACGAGCTCTCCCTTTGAATTCATCAGCGAACAAATCCACAATTGTTTTCCCCGTCCAGCGTTTATTCACCTGCATCATCGCACCAATTTCTCAATCTCCCTGTGACTTTTAGTGCTATAAGAAAGATAGAAATAACTACTTACATGAGAGATGAACTCGAAGTAGTACGGCCTCACATGGCGTCTCCCTTCAAAGACAAAAAGAAAAATCAAAGCATTAAAAAAAAAAACCTAGAAAAATAGATGAATTAGAGGAAAGTAAGAGAGATTTGGTTCGTTTTTGGTACCGCCATGAAAGATGTAGTCCTGCTTTTGTGAGAGTTTCGGAGATGTCTGCAAAACTATGTCAGTATTCATGGTGGCGGCGGCGGCCGAAGAGGCGGGCTTCTCTACGGCGTCGTTGTCGTAGTCATCGTGATGCTTTCGTTTCATTATTCTTCTTTCTCTTTGGGCCGAAGAGGTCCTTGTCACTTCGAAAAAACAAGAGTTAAAAGTTAATTTTGTAAGAGTCAAAAAGGTTAAAAGAAGTTTTTTAACCAACTAAACATGTTCTATCCATCAAAACTTTAAAAATGTTCTATCCATCTACAAATGTTCCGCTTTGATTAGAGATTTTTACTGTTAAAACTTTTTTGTTAAAAAAGATAACTGTGAAAATTTGAAATAAATAAATGGGCAATTTCCACGGTTACACGGAAAACAAGTTTTGAAGACAAATATAACTGAGATGGACAGTTTATTCCTTCCCTAACATTTTTCATTAATTGATTGACAATTTTATCCTTCCTTCCAAAAAAATAAAAATTCTGAAAACCTCTCTTCTCTCCCGAAATTCCAACTCTCGATTCCTGTGCGAACTAAGACGAAGAAAGCTTAGAAACCTTTCAATCCGACCTCTTTAGATTTCGAAAGCATAACTCTTGACCTACTCATGGATCATTAACAACTAAATTTCGGAAGCATAAGACACATCCCAACTCTATCATCGTCGTTGTGTTGTCGGATTTCATCAGAGTTAAACGAGTATATTTTATCTACCGCAATCTCCAGTAAGGCTAATAGTCTTCATCGTCGGAATTTGGTTTTCTCTAGATCTGAATCATTTGTTTTCGTTCATCGTTTGATTTGTGATTTGAATCTAGATTTTATGCTTCGATCTGTTGTTACTTTAGGTTATCTTTGATTGAAATCTTCCTAAAAGTTATAAAAGCCTTCCCGAATTTGATGCTTAATTATTAATAATTCGAATCTAGGAAAATCGTGTATGCAAGTGAAGCTGAACGATATGGATTGCTGAATTGAAATCGAATGAACTTTTAGAATATGGTGAAAGTTCCAAATATGTTTATTACAGTGTTCATTTTCATACTTTGAAGTTAAAGATTTTGTTCAATATGAACTTTTTAATCTCCCAAAGTTATTTTGTTTCACTAGCTTCCATACTTTCATGGTTATTGCTCAGACAGGGAAATAGAATTTAAGATGGTAGCTTCACTCAAAACCTGATCTTCACAGCTTAATGTATATATCTATGGAAGGATATTTTGTACTAATACAAGGGATCTAATGAGTGGTATGACTCTTGTGATTGATATATGAGGAATTTTGTTGGCTCTGTTCTTGTGGATTAGGTGTATCAGTACTAATTTGCTTAGTTATCGCTTATGTTAGATTTTGAACCCCTAGTTTTGTTTCAGTTAATGCTAGTACTTGAAACGTTGTCCTGGTTTTGATACTAATTCCTAAATAGAAGACTCAAGTATTAAACTATTACAATATGGCACAAACCATTTTTCGTGAATCAGTAACTTGATTTGTATTGAGTGTGCCTAAATCCAAACTGGGGCAGTGTTTTATTGTTGAAGTTACATATGTTCCACCAGTGTTATTGTTGGCTAAGAGTAATGTGTGAACGTAGATTTTCAATTTATTGAGAGGTTTCAGACTTGGTAATACTAATTAAATTTTAGTGTTTAGGAAGGATTTAAGAAGCATTTCTAAAATGGAGATTGTTAAAAATCATTTGCAGTTGAAAACTATTGCATAACATCTCATTTATAGAAAAAGAGAAGAAGATAATCTTATTGTTTGTTTGATTAACATCATTACGTGAAAATGTCTAGGATAAGCATATTGGCACAAAGGGTGCAAAAAAGAACAGTATATGGTTGTTTTTTGCTTAATTATGCAACTTAAGCATATAGTTTAATAATATCACATTCGTTTGTAAGCACCTGAACTTCAAGAAACATTCATGAATTTTGAATTCAGGAAAGTCTTATTAGTTTTCAAGGATTTGTAATCTTTAGGAAGGTCTTCATGAATGAAACCTTGAAAACAGTTAAACATCAGATTATCATAGCTTATTTTTTTTGTTTAATACAGTCAATTTTAAAATAGTATGTTTTCTTCCTAGGTGGTCCAAGAAATGTGCAAGGAAAATGGAGTCAAGATTAGAAGCTATTTGAGCCTTAAAGAGAGAGCAGAACCGAGTGTGTGCGCTAGACCAAACGGAGACTTGAAAGTGCAGCTTAATTTACAAAGCACTTAGTGGATACATGCTTTGAGTGTTCAAAATAATATTTGGGAACACTTTCGGAAACCTTCCTAAATTAGGAAGCTCTTTCAATTATATGAATTACTTGATAATTTACAAATTTATTAAAAATTTAAGTAAATAATTCTCTTAATAGAATTGTTCGATTGAACATATGTTGCTTAGTTTTGTTTGTGGTGTATATTCATGACCATTGTATGTATGCCATGTGCTATATCATGTAGACGGAGATGCAAAGCCTGTTAAACTTCGATTTAGATCTTGGTCATGTAGATCAATTTATAATGATTAGACTATGGTCAACTTCTGTATAGCTTTCATAAGATCCGTCTTAAATTTGAGTTATTATTGTATAAATAAGCACTAAAGTTCTCACTTGTATGAACACTATCATTCCCACTATGTAAAGCTAAGTGGAAGGGTTTAGATCTTATTCTTATGCTGTTTAGGCAAACTAACATCACTATGTTATCTTAATGTTTGGGCAAGTTATGCTAATTACTAGGTGAGATATTCGACTTGGATGTTTCTGAATCGTTTTTTAAATTTGATATACACAAAAATTCTCACCTATATGTTTTAGCAACACCTTCCTAAATATATAGGTAGACTTCCTCAATTTGAATTATCATTGTGTAAATATACATACACAAAATTCTTACATATACGTTTTAGGAATACTTTCCTACGTGTATAGGTAGACTTCCTAAATTTAATTTATAATTGTGTAAATGTGCATAAAAATTCTCAATTATTTTTTAGGAACACCTTCTTAAATTGAAATGTTTCTAACAATTTAAGTCTTTCCAAATCATAATTAGCAAAAAAAAATGATTTAAGAAGCCTTCCCAAATCATTTTATTATTTATATAATTTAGGAAGGTTTGCTAGTATTATATAATTTAAGAATGCTTACTAAATAAAACTTGGGAAAGAGAAAATGATTTATGAAGCCTTCCTAAATTATAACTAGCAAAAAGAAAATGATTTAGGAAGTCTTCCCAAATTATAACTAGCAAAAAGAAAATGATTTAGGAAGTCTTCCTAAATTATAATTAGCAAACATAAAATGATTTAAGAAGCCTTTCCAAATCATTTTATTATTTATATAATTTAAGAAGGTTTGCTAGTATTATATAATTTAAGAATGCTTACTAAATAAAACTTGGGAAAGAGAAAATGATTTATGAAGCCTTCCTAAATTATAACTAGCAAAAAGAAAATGATTTAGGAAGTCTTCTCAAATTATAACTAGCAAAAAGAAAATGATTTAGAAATTTTTCCTAAATTATAATTAGCAAAAATAAAATAATTTAAGAAGCCTTTCCAAATCATTTTATTATTTATATAATTTAGAAAGGTTTGCTAGTATTATATAATTTAAGAATACTTACTAAATAAAAATTGGGAAAGGGAAAATGATCTAGGAAGCCTTCCTAAATTATAACTAGCAAAAAAAAAGTTTTTGGAATCTTTCCTAAATTATAACTAAAAAAAGAAATGATTTAGGAAGCATTCCTAAATAAAATTTGGAAAAGAAAAAAAAATGATTTAGGAGTCTTCCTAGATGAATACTCAAAATTGTTTTGGTATTCATTTGAAAAATTAATATTCTTCGCTCCTGAAACTTTGTAAATTGATTCAAACTTTTTAGCAAATTGGTCCAACGTTTCCTGTAGTCTATATAGACTATTGCAAAAAATATAAGAGTCAATACAGCAATCAAAGTTTACGCCAAAAGCTTAATCCAAACCAGAAGAGATATGCTTCTACCTGTTGTTTTAGGAATGATTCATATATATTTAAGAAAGGCTTCAGAATTTAGAAATGATTCATATATATTTAGGAGTGATTCATAATATATTTACCATTTGCTTATTTATCATCTGATGTTAATATCACAATATTATCATCTTTATTTAGCCTTTGCTTATTTATCATCTGATGTTAATATCACAATACTATCATCCTTACGTAGAGTAGAGACAGATAATTGGAAAGAATACAATTCAGACATTTTTTGCTATGGAAAGACCTCTGGCTATAATATCATCTCAGATACACGACATACAACTGAACATTAAATTCTTGCATCGGAGATACAGCCTATATAATGCAAAATCCAACATTGTTTTTGCAAACTTGCACATATCTGCGTAAGAATTAGAAATATTAATAATGTATAGCATTTGAATCACCTTGTTGTACAAAATAACTCCTGAAGAGAGTAGAATGTACATCAGTAGGTATATATAAGTTAGTACAAGCATCTTGTTTATCATCTTTGCCATCTTCCTCATCCCCTCTCGTTCAGAGCAAAAGCAGAAAAATCGTTCTAGGCCAAAGTTCTTCGATACTCAAAGTTCCACTACGACGCTCATATGCTCTTCGAGGACGTTCACCTCACCATCTTCACCACGTCGACCACCACGGAAGGAGCCACGAGGAGCATATCCATATCCACCACCACGCCTTTCATAAGAAGACTTTGAAACGTCTCATCCCTCTATTCCTCATAGGACAATCACCACGTCTGAAATCATAACCACGACGACCACGGCCAGCTTCTCCGATTCCGCCTCTACCACCACCGTGTGGAGCATCACTCCTAGCCTCTCTCACTAATCAAGAACGTTCAAACCAATCAAATACCAATCTCAATAACTAAAACAACAATACAGAATCCACATAACAATACAGAAAATCTTGCTGATACGGTCTCGAAACCTGCAAAACAGAAAAGGGATAAGGCAAACTCACTTTTAATTTTAAAGTAATCTGACATGTGTTTGCCTTTGATATGAACCTTGCTCTTATGTGCTCTCACACGAGCCTGGAGACCAATATCTTCATCCCCTTTGCCAAAAGTAATCTCATCAGAAAAGAATATAAATCCAAGATCCACCAAGCAAGAGCAGGAGAAAAGCGAAATGGATCAGATCCGATAAGCAAGGAGTATAACAATCGAAGAAAACGGAGAGAAGAACATATATCACTACC